AGTTTAACTCCGCATAGTTCTACTCATACTTATGGGCAAAATTTGAGATCAACAGCTTTTAACGACTTGAGAACGTTCTTTGGGTGTGGATGAAGAGATGAACGATACCCACACCCACACCCATCGATATTTTATAAAGTATAACGATTTTCAAAGATTCATATCTTGAAAAGACGAATTCTGAAATTCTGTACTTCATCTATTCTATCGACATCAGTTGAATTGATATTTGAAATGTTGCTAATAAGTCGATGACTTGCTTAAAAGTATAATCGAATAAAATCAACGAAAAATAGAGAGTCTTACAAATGTTACTTATCATGTTCATCAATTACAGTTCGGTGACAAATATTTGTTCGAACTATTATTTTTTACTCTTCTCAATCTTGACTATAAAATGAGTTGTAGTTTCCAACAATAAAACATTCGATCAATCTATTGAATAGATATACGTACTAATCCATCGAACGTATACAACAACATGATCAATTAATATCGATCGATTTGATTATGACTATAATAAAAACAATTGAAGAAGGTAACCATTTTATAATATTGAGCGGAATTCAGATTGAATTATTGGCCTGTGTTGCAGATAGAAAAGAATTATTATGGATGAATCCAAATAGAAGATCTACTGATATACCATTAGATAAAACTGTAGATCTATTAGAGTCAAATGGATGGAAAATGTCAATTGTTAAAGATAATGCCAATGATGCAAAATAGAACTGATCATATCTTATTTCTTTTGTTGTTTGCAAGATAAAGAAGAAAAACTCAAAGTGTTAGTTAAAAATAATTTTCAGAAGTTAAACAACGAAAATTCAAAATGTTAGTGCATGTGCACAAACTCCTTTCGTTTCCTGTAACTGCTTTTTGATTTCACTTAACTTTGTCTCTATAATAATTAAAATACGAAATAAAAAGTAATCATTGCATTTCGATGAAGACAATTCTTTTCTACCATGAAACTTTGAATCGAATAATACTGGATTGGAAAAATAATTCCTATTTTATTAGAAATAAGAATATTTCTATGTCCGATTTCTCACTGAAGGATACTATTTACTCCTTAAGAGAACAATAACATGATGTACATGTAAGATGACATTATATGTATAATGACGCATGCAAAACATTCTTCTCTCAACTACAGGGGCTTCTTTTAATTAAATTTTCTTTTCTTTCGTTGTTTTACAGGACCAAAAACAGCATGAGTCATTTGGAAAAAAGCAACCATGAGTGCATGTAAAAAACCTAGTAGCAAACAGTATAAATAAATCAAATTGTAAGAGACATTTATAACATTCAGTTGTTGTTTTGCAAGTTCATCACATAAATTCAACAACGGCGGTAGGTAGAATATACACATATATTTTTTGCAAGATGAAACAGATTCGAATTTAGACGAACACAGAACATCGAGCAAAAACCAGACATATTCTAAAAATGATGCGTCAATTGCACAGACACGTATTTGGATTATAACACGTTTCTATCGTAGTTGGGAGGGTCTGCCGTAATACGCGACATAACTGTAACTCATTTTCCAATGATCGTAGTTTTAGGCAATTAATTCTATCCGTTTACTAACGAGAATACTTCTAGAGATGCTAGTTCCAAAGCTTCTCGTTTGAAAGTAGGATGGTTAGATAGAGTATCGCTAGAAGTAAAATATTCTAAGTTAGTTCAAACACAAGTTGCTTTCGAATTACAAATAGAATTACTAATTTTGTTTGTGTATCTTGATTTCGATTCCAAAACAGGAAGATACGAGACAAAAAGAAAGTATTGACATTTTCTTTCTAACTTTGTACTTTTTCATGTTTCGCATGTGTTATTTTCCTGTTTACATTTTCGAGCAACTTTTACTTTCTCTCAGATAGACTATTTATTATCAAGTAGCGAAACATGAAACGCCACCACAAAGTTAAAAAGAAAAATTTTCACAAGTCTTTTCTACTTATATCCTTCTATTTTGAAATTAGAAATCTCAGATAATTATGGTTAAGATGAATATAATTATTTTAACATTTTCAGCATGAGACGATGTTAAGTAAAAAGAACAACAGATACCGATTCATCACTTGAAATTTTTTTTTTATTACTACGAAATTGGTGTATGAAAAACTCATCATATTTATCTGAAAGCTTTAACCTGACGCTAAATTTTAGATTCTTAAAATCCTTCGATATATTATTTATTATTTCAACTGATTCTTAATTACGTTGAGAAAAACATTGTCATGACTCTTCATTATAAGAAAGATGGTACTTTTGATATGCGATTTAATTCATCAAGAGCAGCTATGTCATCTGGCTTTCGTATGAGTCATTTCGGATATTCTGAAGGTGTCAGCTACTCACCAATGCCTGCTGAACTTCATTATAAAAAAGATCGCACTCTGGATATGCGATATAACTCTTCGAAAGCCTTAGCTACTTCATGTCATGTCAGTCGACCGGCTACTTCTTCACAATTACATTATAAAAAAGATAGTACTTTGGATATGAGATATACATCTTCGAAAAATGTTATGACTAGTTCGAAATCTGGATATACATATTCCGGGCATGACATGCCAAGAAATATTCCGGTGACAAAAGCTGGTATTCCAGATATGAGAACAACAGCGGCGAAAGAATGGGTTAAAGAACAAGCACGAATGAGAATGAATGATATTCCTTCGTGGATACCTAGAACTAAAGATAATTCTCTTGATCTTACAAAAGCAGTAACACAGGAGTATTTAAAATGCAAAGATACAACATCAACAAATTATGTTCCTGATCAACGATTAGCTTATTATTGTCAAAAACTAGAAGATATGCTCTTTCGAAAACTTATCGAAGATGCTCGAAGAGAACATGTTAACATGCCTGAATATGAAATCTTACCTGAAACTAGCGAAATTCAACGTCAATTTTCTTCTCGATCAATAAGAAGTTCTATTAGATGTGACGATGATGATTATGATATACGCAGTGAAATTCCCGAATTAGTTACATTGATTAATTACAGAGATTTGAAAATTAATTCTGAAGATAAATTAGGTCAAGGTTCATTTGGTATTGTCTATAAAGGTATATGGAAAAATCAGACTGTAGCTGTCAAACAATTACATTTAAATAAGTTGACTAGACAAGAAAATAATCCATTTGTCAAAGAGATCAAAATCATGTCAAAATTAGGTAAACATCCAAATTTAGTTTATTTACATGGTTATACATTGGATCCACTTTGTCTCGTAATGGAATATGTTGAATTAGGTTCATTAAATTATTTACTTCATTATTGTGAAGATTCAGAAATTGAAGCCAAAATAACCGACGGAAGAATAAAAAAGAAACTTATTCTTGGAATTATTCTCGGCATGATTCAACTACATGCAGTGAATATTGTTCATGGAGATTTAAAACCTCAAAATGTTTTAGTTTCAAGAGATTATACAGCCAAAGTGACCGACTTTGGACTGGCTACACTTCGAGCTAAAACATCAAGTTCAATTGCTTCGTCTATGACACCGGATGATGGTGCAACCATATGTGGCACTGCAGGTTATATGGCTCCTGAATTATTAAGCAGTACAAAGCCACCGGAGTATTCCAGTGATGTATACTCATTTGGTATACTGTTAAATGAAGTTATTCAAGAAGAAGAACCATATTTGGATCAATATCACAATTTTGCAGGACGAGGAGCATTTGGTGCTGCAAATTATGCTCAATCGGGCAAAAGACCAAATATTAAGTCAGGAACTCCACCTTTCTTGAACAATCTCATCGAAAAATGCTGGCATGCTTATGCTCAAGGTCGACCATCTTTTAAACAGATTTATCAAGATTTAAAACCAGATCATATTAAATTTCCGAACTCTATTGAGTTGTAAAGACTAATTTCAAGCTTGCTTTATTAAACATTTTTTATTACAGCAGTGAATATATATTATAAAAAATAAACTAATTTTAAAACTCATGTAACCTGATCTCATTAATATATTTTCTTTTGTAAATCATCATATTTCGTCATACTAGACGTTACTTTGTTCGAAGCTCACGAGGGAACCTTTTCAACTGTCCAATCGCTTTTGAGTTCGAACTCAGTGTGAAAGATAGACCCCAGTAAGGTATGAAAAGGCCCAAAAGGATAAGTGCCCATAGGCCTTCTGTCCAGAGTTATAGGCATTTTATTGGATTATTAGCCTATGGCACAGTATATACCTTGAGAAATTTTGAACTCAAAAATAAATTAACGCATAGGGATGCTGAGAAACCACAGTATAGAACGAAACAAACGCAAAGCACCTGAGGGTGGGTGTTTGATGAGAATATATCCACACCCCGCACCCACACCCCACACTCACACCCAATATGTCAAATATGAAATATTGAATTTTCCGGGCAACACCGGATACTTCTGCTAGTAAGAAATATTTGATAAAGTATGGTATGCCAATTTCAATTTATGTTCAATTTTCAATGTATCATCGTTAGAAGTATCATAAGTCATACTCAAAACGATATTTCCAATGATTTTATGTTCATAATAATCACTTTTCCTACGTTTATAAAGGAATAATAAATCTATTCTGTAGCTTTTGGACAGGTACATACCCGCACACATACGGCTATTTCTTTCTACACTATAATAGTAATCATGACACATTTTTGTCCAACGTGCTTAGCTCATATGAGTATATCACAATTTTTAATGTAGGTCAGAAAATCATCACAATGCTTACATAATGACTACCTTGATTGTCTAGTTTTCTTTGTGTATCACGGAATAAATTATAATTGATCTTCATAATACATTTTTTTTATTTTAGACAACAAAAAGAAAGTAGGTGATGGCGATCGTCAGTGATGGGTTGCTATTGAAGAAATTAAGCATCTTACACATAACAATTGATTACATCGGTATAGTCTAACGATAAGCTAAGAGGCCTTTAATCTCTCAGTCTGGGTTATTTGCTATTTGCATATAATATGTGATTGTTATCTTTAGCCGAAATCAATCTTCTCACTTCAATAGGATAACGTAAATAGATAAGATCATCAATTCCCAGCACCGGTAATATTTCTTTCTTTTCTTAAATTTCTGATGACAAGAACTGAAATTTTTCTACCAGATGCACAACCGAATAGTCGTACCCAGTAAATATTTCTGTCTCTCGTACATCTCTTAATTAGATTCTTTTTACGTGGTACTACGAATTTAATCGCTTGCTATTACGTTTTCGATATTCTCATCCTATATTTAGATTTCAACATCGTAGATGAAACTCACTTTCGATGTTTAATGGTTCAAAATATGTCATAAATCTTTTTGAATACAATACAGCCTTCATTATGCACAATTCCGTACATGATAACAGCTGGTTCAAAAAGTAATCAAACACATAAAATGGTCGAAGTAAGAATTAATAAATTTTGCTTTTTTTCTCTTCAAATTTATTTTGTCATTTAGGATCTGAAATATCATATTTCTGTCCATCAAAATAATTCTAATGATATCTAAATAGTTTTTTTGTATATTCAAATAAACCAGACGCGTCATCTTATAAATAATTTATCTGTCTTCTCTTAGTTAGCTGAGATCAATCTTAAATGAAAATGTTTCAGTTGAATGTAAGTCTAATTATAACCATCGAATAGATGTATAACGAGTTTTTCAATAAACATTTAGGCAATACATTGGACTGATTGGTGATCGTTTTTTCCGAATGTATTGCTTTAAGTCTGATATCTGTCTTTAGCAGCGATTTCAAATGAAAGTTGAGATGTGAATTTGTTGAATTGATATTATTGAAAATGATGATGTATTTACATGATATTATAACATTCTAATAAAAATTTAAGGACAGATCTATTTGATAAATGCTTCCGATTTTAGTCTTCGGAATCAAGTTCGTCATTTTGATCTGTAACTATAAGTAGAAGAAAATAAAATGCATCGGGCAAATCGTCGGAAAATATCTGTAAATCATATTTATTTTGCCAAAAAGATGAAAAAACACGTTTTTTGAGCGTTGCCAAAATTTTACTATGATTTTCATGTCGAAATGTTGTTAGTGTTGACAAAAAATTCATTTTCATTAAAATGCTTTGTACATTCCATTTGATAATATATTCATAATGAAATGTAGGAAAACTAGTTTCAACTGTACCATTTATCCATTCATTAGAAGACAAATTCAAAATTGAAAACTCAGTTTGCTTTACTCTGAAAATACTAAATGAATATGTTAATGTTGCAATAATTTGTTTTGAAGAAAGATCAGATAATTCGATTCTTCTTTCAAAGTAATAATAAGAGGATTTTATATGATAAAGCAAATCTTTTTCTTCTGAATCAAATATAGAAAATCCACCTATTTTCTATCCACTAAACGGATCTTTTGTAATAAAATAACTTCGAATAACCATTTGAGAATTCTCAACAGCAAAAATATGCACAATTACCATCCACATAAGAACATTGACTCGATCGTACATATTTGTGGATTTCGTTCATCAACTAAAATGAAAATAAATCAAAAAAATTTCTGTCGGTTGTTCTCTTGCTGAAAAGAAAGGCTCAAAACACTTTTGTTTCTTGCAACTAATAGCAATTGTATTTCTCACCGGTGACATCTATATTTCGATTTCTAACAACAAGGAAATCTAAAAAGTTTTCATAAAAACATAATCCATAAGTGAAATAAAACATTATTGAAATGTATTCACTCCGATTAATTCTCATTTGCCGACAATCGCTTGTTATTGTTCATTAGATACATGGAAAAAATTATACAAAACTCCACAGATAAACACTTTTCGATTTAAAAGGCAAGATTGCAGTAAGCTGACCGTGATAAAGAAGAACATATGCAATTCGAAATTAAATTCACAAATTTTTGGTATCTAAATTGCAGCATAGAATACATTGCTACTAAAACATAATTAAGTCCATCAATGCCGATTATAATCTGTCAACAAAAGTGTCACTCATCTAAGATTTGAAAGCTGATCCTTAGATCGCATAAAATATCTTCCAATGCATCTGTCTGACTGTTTGTTCAAACGAATCAGAAAACAGAATATGCTAGATCGACTGGAATTAAGTATTTAACGAAAAAAGCCAATATGTATCAAGCAAATTATTTTATAACATACATGAGGTGTCAAACAGACGACAAAAATAAAATTTTATTTCTGTCGTAATTCTGTACCCGTATACACTATAGTAGTTAATGAGCTAATAAGAATTGAGTATAGCCACTATTTTATAGTGAGAGTGTGGATGTAGGTCTTCTCTCTAACTACACCCAAACCCTATGTATCTATCCTGAAATTTTTATAAATCTACGTCACTCCAATCAGAAATAGAACACTGGGTAGTAGACATTGAGGAAATCAATATCGTCAGTTCAAGAAAAAGGATCTCATATCAAAAATTGAATATTTCAGTGATGATTTGATTTATCGAGATGCGGTTAGTGGCTAAAAACTCACTTATTAATGTACCTTTGAAATATGTAACGGAAATCAAAATTCAAAAAAATCGATTGTATGACCTCTGTGGCAATAGACCGTGATTATGTGCAATGGTTAATATTTATAAGATTTGTATTGAATAAAATGAAATTAGTGATGAAATTCGAGTTAGTCATTCTACTAAAACATGTACACTAGTATATTACAATGATAAAAGTTAGTGAAAACTTGAAAAAAAAATTGCTACTTCAGTATTCAAATCTGTATGTGCCACTATTTATTTGAGTTTAGTCGCAACCATTTGATTTTTACTTATAGCTATCTCAAATTCGATTTATATCAATGAACAAAATTTTAATGCAATGTTTCCATCGAAGGTTTTCATTGAGGTAAGAATATCGAGTATGGACTGGATAATTTAAGTTGATAGTGCAGATTCATTTACCTCTAAGCTCACACGTCACATTCTCTCAAATCTAAAAATAATATTACTGATAAACACATATTGCTGTGTGTTCAGATTTATAAACAAGCGATTATGTACAATTTATTTTATTCGTTGTTCAAAATTGTGTTATAAATAATTGAAATATTGAATATATACAATTAAATACTATCAATGAAAATCTCTTGAATCTATAGCATATTAACATCCCTTGTAGTTACACGGACTATGATCGGTATCATCTATTTGCTATACAACAATTGAAATTTGATTATTTTATGTGAGACAACATAGAAATTTATATTATGAGTAAATGCATGAAAGAAAAAGTGATACATAAATGTCACGTACAATCTAGTTTAGTATTACAGATCTTTTCAAGTATCATTTTTTCTGAGATATTGACAAAATGCTAGAAAAGCTATTACAAATTTATATAACTTCATAATGAACAAGACCAAGTATACTTTTGTGACGTCTGCACAGAGTACTCTTTTTAATTTATACTGCTTAATCATGTAATTAAAGTTTTTCTCTCGTAATAAAAAGAGTTTCCACTTAAAGTTATGAAATATACGGCAACGCTATTTAATGACTTTGTGAATGTTCAAAAGTTTTGCTTGAGCGTCTTTTCATAGAATCTTTTCATTTGGATAATGAATTTTTTCGAGACATCAATGGAAATAAACAATTTTTAATATTATGTCGTTTTCTCCATGCAGATAATAATAATGATAAAATACTAATTACACCAAAAACTAAAAATAATCCACCCTAGTGAAGGTACTCATCAAGAGAGTACTCAAAAAGTACTCACGCTAGAAAATGCCGCGAGAACTCATGAGTACTCAAGGCTTTTGAGTACTCACCAGTAGTACTCGTGCTAGAATTTGAGTATCTGAGTACGACTATTGAGTACTCGCGCTAGAATCTGAGTACGACCATCGAGTACTTGCCTTAAAATAATGAGTGTTTCACGAGTACTCCTATATAGTTTTTGAGTACTTTAGTCGTTTGTGTAAAATACTCATAGGCCTACATTCTGTTCATTACCGTTGCACTATGTCCATTTTATTTTTTATATAAAATTAATAACACAAAATACAATACTACATATTGAAAATATGAGAGAACAATCAATACGAGAGTTACAAGTATTATTTTATCTGCATTAGTTTTTAACACAAATACTAGAGATAAAGAAATATCTAACTTTCTTCTATAATGAACGATGAAGATTTCTTTGTCTCTATCTTATAAAGTAAGAGTACAGTAAACTGATTAAGTGACAGTAAAATAAACTTCGAGAAAAATAAATGATAGATTATTCAGTGAAATTGAAACATGTGATTACAAATAAAGATTCAGTATTGATTGATACACAACAAAAAAGATAAGTGTTTAAAAATCGTTTATATTTACAATCATTTAACAATTTATAAAAAAAAGTAAAAAATAAATTATGCGTCTGTAGCCATTGTCTTCACGTGTGTATAATTTAAAATCGCAATCGATTTGCAACAAAAGTCGTTAGTTCTTTTTTTTCTATTACGACCCATCATCAATCTGAAAAACTTTATGTTAATACAGAACTTTTTATCTAAATTTAGAAATTGAGACTAGAATGAATTTCGATTAATATGCTTAATTCAACATTAAATCTTACTCGCGAAGTTAACAGTTAAAATGGAAAGTCGTTTTCTTTTTTTCTTCACGTCATCATCCAATGAAATCGTAGAAACCAATCATCAGAAAATGATAGAGGATAAAATATAGAATTCATGGAAACAGTTCTTCTTTATTTTTTATTTAAAATTTCATCGTTTTTCTTTATTACATAGTTTCAATTTATTTTTGTGCATACAAGTGCATAAGTGTTTCACAAAATATTCTGCGAAAAAACTCTTATGAGTACTGTACGGAGTACTCGCGTCTTTTTCTGTGAGTTAATCTGCAAAGTAAAACTAGTATGAGTACTCGTATGAGTACACATACAGTATTCATACACATAAAATTCTTCAAGTACTCGTACGAGTAACTTGAGTACTCATGCTGGCAAGTCGTACTCGCTTGATGAGTAGTTTCACTAGGGCACTCATTGCTTCAATTTTGATCGCAGTTGATATTTCAGATGAGTCAGAACACGTCTTTGCTTGAAACCATTTTTGTCTTAATTTCTCTATATCACCTGCTTCTCTTAATGATAGAATATTTACATCTAAATCTTGTGCATATAACCATTTCTGAGGAGTAACAATACCAAATACACTTTTATCAAAATCATTTCCAATTAAAGTTAAATTACAAAATATATTATTTGTGACATATTCAACAGCACCACTATCCCAAAAGGCTGCATCAATCATATTTGTAAGTAGACTAAAATATGCTTCGTTTAGAGAGTGTAACGGGTAATAATTTCGAGCACCATTAGATATTTCTCTCAAATAATACTCTTCAGGAGCTGAATCTACAAGAATACCAATACGATTAAATGGTATTTTTCCATTTTTAATATCATCAATTCCAGAAATAATAGATTTTGATTTTGCTATTGTCAGATCAGATGCTAAATTTGCAGTGTATGATGCTACTAATATCAAACTTAAGATATATAAACCAGCAGTTAATAAACGTCCAGCACCTGTATTTGTATGAAATTCTACACCATATCCAACAATATTACCAAAAGAATACCACACATACATTGCAATTTGAGACAATATTGATTGATTTTGTAATGTTTCATTATCTTGTCTCTCTATTATATATATTAAAATACCAGCATAGATTAAAGTACATAAAAGTAATAACCAGAGATTCCATGAAAATGGTTTTAAGAATGAGAACAGGTCAATATTGACATCGGTTGTTTTTCGAATAATAATACGTAAAGAATTATCAAATATAGTATTGGAAAAATCGACTAATTTTCTTCGTGTAGCAGTAACTGTCACATCACCTATCACTATATCATAATCACCGTTACGTACTGCTTGAATTAATCCATTATAGGTTTGATTTGGTGATGCTAATTCAATAATTGGAATAAATTCCATTTTATTTTGTAAAAGTTTAATAAGATCGTGTACATAACCGCTATACTGTATTGTACTTTGTCCAGATGCATCTTTGATCTTTTCAACTATTGTAAATGGAACTGATTCAATAACACCTATTCGTAAATTTACACCTTTGAGAAGTGTTCCGCCAATAGGCTGCGTTAATGAATTGCCCGGCCATATTATAACATTTTCTTTTGTAGGTATTCTCCAATCACCAGGATGAGAATATTCTAATACAGAAACAAAACTCAAACCATTCGAAGAAGGTTGAGCATTTTTTGCAGAATAATACAAACCAGTTATTCGATCTGTTACATTCATACTAAATTGTATAGGACCAGATACACCAAGAAATTCTGTTCTACTAATTACATCTAACAATAAGTTAGAATGAATGAAACGACGATCAAAACAAAATGAAGATTCAATAAATGATAAACATGAAGAAGAAATATTTATTTTTGATGTACACAATTGTTGTAATGATTGAATTAATGTCCATGTTGCATCAAATGTAAATAATGCATAATTATCTACATTCATAGACCCAGGAAATGATTCAAGCTCATATTGTTGCCAAATACTATATGCTGCACTTAATAATGTTGCATTAATTGGCGCATTGACAACTGATCCTACAGCTGGTTCAATCAAAAGCATTCCAATTAAGTTTTCATAAAATGTTTGATTGAAAGAATTTAATGAAACACTGCTGCTTAGTATCCATGTAAATTGTGGACCAACTACATTAGAGGCAAGAGCCTCTTGCAAAATCAGATATGTATAAAGTGATTCAGCCCATACAACAACCATTCGTGTTGCAGCATTAGTTAAAAGACTTTTCAAATCACCACGAATACTACGTGTAGCAATATCAAATACAATCATTTGGCTGACTATTAAACGACTATCATTAAATGCTTCACTTATAGCATTGGCTCCGCCAGTTCCAAATGCATCATTTTGATAAATTATTGTACATGATGTCCAATTATATCGAATAAATAATTTTGCAACGGCTGCTGCAGCTACAAAGTCCGAAGCAACTGTACGATGAAAGTTAGGATAAGCATTTTGATCAGATAAACCAGGATTAGTTGCAGAATATGATATAACAGGTATACCAAGTTTTTCACCAAAAGGAGCAATTACCTGAGCTTCTCTTGATAACCATGGGCCAACGACACCAACAACATTTGAAACAGATACTGCATGACACATAATGTGCATAGCATCTATTATATTACCAGTAGTTTGCTCTGCTTGCCATCCTATGAATTCTCCTTCGATTGTTATATTATATTGATGAGAAAGCAACATTGCTGCCTTAAACATATTCCAAGATTGGACAGAGACATCGGTAATGTCAGATGTGTTTGATGGTTGTAAAAAAAGTCCTAGCAGGCGAATGTTAGAAGAGTTTGATGACGGCCAACTTGTTGTTACATATTCTATGTTAAATTGTTCAATTATAAAGTATAATAAGAAACATCGAATATTACAGAACAATAACATTGTTGTTCAATTGTCTAATAAATAAGATGGTTGAATCAAATATTAGGAAAAAAAAGTATACTGAAATGTAAATACAAGAATAAACTAATATAAGAGGCAGCAATGACTGAGAAATCGAGGAAAAGTGTTTCTGTCATATTTGTACATGGTTCGATAGAGCAGAATGAGCTCTACAAGAATATCTATATTAAAAAAAATTTTTTGAAGACATTATTGGAGGAAGAATTGCAAGAAAATTTAAAATAACCTTGAAAACATTCACTTTTTATGTATAGAAGGGTGTGGGTGTGAGTGTGGGTGTGGGTGTGGGTGTTGATGTGAGTATACTGGGATAGCATCAATATTAATATATCAGAATAAATCCTCAATAAAGAAATAAGTTCACTAGAAAGAATAAATCCCGAAAAAAGAAGTCCCGGTAGTCCCTCCTATAGCGACAATATTTTACGATACTAACATATATTAACACATTAGTAAATGAATAAAGTGATGACGTATATTTCTTTTTTTCTCTTTCTTTTTTTCTCTTTTATGAAATATAAAAGAGTTTTATGAAGAAAATTAGTTTGAAATATTTTAAATTTGTGTATGTGTCTGCCAGGCGGGAAAATGAGAATAATAATAATAAAAGCTAGTGAAATATATGGATATTAATTTATTGTTCTTGAAAATTATGATAGTTTTATGATGAATACTGAAAAGAAGCTTGACGAGTCAAATATTCAGAATAAACAACAAGACTATTCGAGACGATCAAGACGAAATGAAACAATGGAACAAAATCAAAATCGATTATACCTCGATCGAAAAAGAAAAGAGATAATATGAAACGATTGAGCAAAGAGAATGTCGTCAAAAAACTAATTATAGATGCATAGCTAAAACAGTTCCTAGAGAAATTGACGATGAATATTATATTCGACTTCGATGAAATTGTCAATATACTGCTAATAGTCGTTCGAAGAAGAGTTATAACAATAAATGTATAATAACTAGTCAAGCAGAAGAAAATCAAATAGAACGACAGACACTTATTAAGAAAATTGATATCAGGTTGGAACAGCACGTTTCAAATTGAAAAGATATTTCATAGAAATTCTAGCGAAGATAGAAACTATCCTGACATGGATGATTGTTTACTCAATAATGATCAAATACAAATCAAGTCTATACAAATTTGAAAAGAAAGAAAATCAATCACATCAATGGATGATGAAGTAAATCCATGTTTGGATAACGTTCAAACCAGAGATAGAGACAGTTCGGTTCGGAAATTTTCGAAATGATCTCAGTTTGGTTATCCTCTTAGGAGAATTTATGCAATTTATATACATGTGAAATTATTTGAAGTAAGAAGCATAAAAAATAGCGTAAATTGCAACGAAAGTATTTATACAATTCTCTTTCTGCATTCTTATCGAGTCTAACAAAAAAATATATAGAAAATAAGCTAGTTAATGATATTACAGCAAAAAAAATTAACGTATTTCAATAATAATCCAGTATATCTGATGGCAGAACTAAGGTTTTATTATATGAGGCGATTCGACGGAGATAGGGATCATAATGATCATGAAATATTCCCAGGTTCTTTAGAGATAGTAGAAGCTCATTTTGAAGCTTTTTCTACTAGAAAACAGCGATTTATTTCTCGATATTGAAAGATCACCGGGAGCGCCCTCTTAAATCTACCACTGAATATATTAAACTAATGAGTTATCTAAATTGAGTTCGAATATAAATGAACCTCTGTTTGCAACAGGGATTTAAAAAATAAATAGAAAAAAAATGTCGGACCAGCAGCGAACTGCGTTCAAAGCCAAAATTAAAGATAAAACTCATTCGATTTATATTTTATAATTCAGATATGATCAAATTGTTAGAATAGGCAAAAATAAATTTCATCACAATTATAAATCATAACTCCGACAGGGAATATGCTGGGAATAAAGTCAAAACGGTCAGCGATAAAACTTGACGTTTATTCAAGCTTTAGTTCAATTGGTATCCTCTTGAATAGATTCACGCATAGAAATTGACTGTTGAACTAAAAAAAACATCTTCAGTCACATAATCGACCATTTATTTCAGCGTCACTACGTGAAGGTGCGAAGCGCTCCCCGAAAAATCGCAACCCATGCATGTCTTTGTATAAAGAGAACTTTCGCATGAAAATATATGATGTCTCATATGAGTTTCCAGAAACCTACACGACTTACCCCAGAAAAAAATCTATTTGAGAAAATCATGGTGAGTTTTCTCAAATGAAAATAAATTTCCAAAAATCAAATCGATTGTCAGATATGTAATGATATAATAAAAAATTTTTCTCATTAATCAATACAGTTTTCATCTATAAAACATAGTTTTAATCAAAGAAAGGTACGACCGATATTTTTGCACGTTCGTGCCATGAAAGACATCACATTGCATCTATCTTCATGAAGGTTACTTGACTGATTTTACTCTTCATATTCCTCGATTCTTAGAAGCCTAACTATGCCGATTATGTTCATTATTTCCTGTTTCGAAATCATGCGAGAAAAAAGTTTTCTGAGAACTTATAGAAGGCATCAATTTGTAAAACTTGCATTCAGAAAGATTTTAGATGAATTTTATCATTTTCTTGCTTGATCTGTTCATTCTGAAACAATAAACCTATGTTTTCTCGCTTGAATTAAGAAACTACTGATTGTGAAAAAAGTAAGCTAACTTGAATTATATTTTATAATTTAGATAAAAATTTATCTTTGCCTTTGCGTATTTTCGTAGGAAAAATATTTTTGAAATGACAGCTAGTCATCGATTTCAATTCAAAATAATTATTTCTTCTTTATCAAATATATACGGTGTTGTTTTAAATGTTTTTTGAGGATAATCGCTCAGAAAAATACGAAGAAATTGAATTACAAATAATATAACTTTAAATATTTGTAGTAGAACAAAAGATGTTTTTTAGTTCGATTCGGTTCAAAAATTAAAACTCCGACCCGTGCTCATCTCTAGTTCAAACAGGTACAGATGATTTCCGATGAAAATAGGACAAAGATACGGGTGAGTTTTCGTCAAATGTACAATACTTGAAAAAGACGTCAAAAACTCAGATAGTTTCATAAAAGAGACGCGGCCTATCTAAAGATAGATTCTACTTGTTTTTTAATCAATAAATGAAAACTGATTTTATTACATCTATTCATATGCTATTTTTTGTTATTGTAATAATACGAAAAATATGAGAAAAACAAACGAAAGAATTTCTCAACTGTAACCAAATAGCATATATGAAGTCGATAGGGATGTACAAGTCCAAGGCAACTCGCCAATTTTATTGTTTCCTTCATTTCTATTGCCTTGATGTGTATCGTTACATATCTAATTACGACGATTTAGTTTTGAGTATAATGTGAGACTATAACGTAGGTGAAGTTAGCGTCCGATTCGAGTAATTCTGCCGCCGATTCGCCCAGAAACATGTTCCAAGTGTTCCATTTGTATTCCAAGTACAACTCAATGAACTCTATCGAATGGTGTATTCAGATTTTACGTAGCTCAAACTATGTCTTCGCAAACCTCAACTTTATAAGATACGGTACCGATCTCGTTACACCAAATTCACTCAAAATCCTCGGTTTTTAAGAATATATGGATGTTCTAAAATTTGGATACCCGAGTTCCGGATATTATGACATCCCTCATTGACTCAGATAATTCGTCATTATACATACAATATAGATAGGCATTTCAAAGCGGAGACAACCGATGTGTGTCATCCACTGACGTGAGATGCCTAGGTGTTTTATGGAAAATTCTCATAAATCTGCATTTTAATATTGTATAATGAGAAGAAGAAACTTGAATAGTGAAAAAGAATCGAATCTCTCTATTTTATTTGACTTCGATGCAAATACTTCATTTATTCTAAAGCATGTTATATCAAGGAATAAAGTATGAAAGCAGATGAATTTCATTGTGGATCATCTTTGAAACAGGTGTGGGTGTGGTGTAACGAAATATGGATAGACTATTTCATTACTACTGCGGTATTTATTTTATTGTTGATCAACAGTGAGAAACTGGAGAAGTAGAGTTACCGCTATCCTCGGTGCATGACGTTTACTACACTACTTCATCACTCCAGTTCTGAGCATTTTACATAGAACACGAGCTTATATAGGAGAGAGAAATAAGAAGAGAGAAATAATGAATAGAGAACATTGTAAGCAATAAATATAATCGGTCACTGAGGTCACAGTGCCTAGAAAAACAGTGACCGCTTGACCTCATACGATTAAGCGAATAAAGGATGAAGATGCGACGTGCCCTTATTATTGGCACATGTGGGTCTTCCTTTCATAAATACTCATATCCACACCCTACCCAAGCTCCATCTTTCCAAGTTTTTCCTAGTTCAAGCAAATGTCTTTCTATTGTTACATGAAAGCACCCCATCTGATCTGCCAGTTGACGTGTAGTCAACCTTGGTTCTTCTTCAATAAGCTTCTCTAAGATTTCAACATTTAATTCCATCGGCCTTTCGGAGTGAGGAGAATCTTCAAGATCATAATCTTCATTATTAAATTTGTTAAAGAAAACTTGTGCTGTGCGAATGCTAAGCACATCCTCACCAAACGCATAGCCTATGTTTTTTGCTGATTCTGTTGCATTTCGTCCAAGACGGAGTTCATAAAGTAAAAGTAATCGAATATCTTTTCGAGATATATTAATTTTTAATATGTTAAAGAGCTTTATTATAAACAATATTGTAATTGTTTTCAAGTAAAGCATGCCCCTTTACATATTCGAAGTATCGAGGTTTCTCGAAGTTTCTAGAACATTTTAAAAAATTGGAGAAAAAAAATGCAAAATATGATGTAACAACCCAGTACGTAATTTACCATCCAAATATCTGTCAGGTCTACAGTATTGTCGGGTTGAATGTTCGAATCCATCTTTCGTCTATTTTTTTTCCTGCTCTTCTATTTCGCTGACTATTCCGAACGCATGAAATAGACAAAATGGACTAGATATGATGGGTATAGGTAGGTTCTGGGCTAGTCAAGACATGGTTGTAGGACTGTCCTTGTAACGACGACCAGTCCTGATGAGTACACCAGACATTTCAGACTAAACTTTGACGGATAGCGTGGACACTTTAGACTAGTCATGTTGGCCGTCTACCCTTATTTTTTGCTCCCCTGGGTAGTCAATCACTATCTTAACGATTATATGCATTGACAATAAATAATAAATAAAAAAAATGAGACGAAGAAAAGAGGCATATATAACCAGGAATCGGTCTACTATAGCTTTTATTCCGAATCGAATCATATTTGTAATTAAGAGCGTATATTTCAAGGGGTGTTTTGTTTCTGAATTCATTGAACTTTTGTCGAGTTCACTACGCTGGGAGTATCCAGCAAGTATCATGTTGACCTTATTTTTTTCAGGACTCACTCCCTATATGATCTATCATAAAGAAACTGTATTTGAGATAATTACTATTTGACAATATGAATCACATGATCGAAGAGATATTCAATTATACTACATAAATAAAAGTGATCTTGAAGTCATTTTTTGCCAATGCTTATTGTTGACTGCTTCGTTCAGAAACTACTGTGCGATCGCCATACGCATAAAAATTGAAAAGTTGGTTCAGTTAAAAATAAATCTAAGTTTTGATTTAATTTTTCAATTTGTCACTTTTGATCGCCTTCGTTTCATAAATATCCAACGCGAAATCTGTATTCACGCATTCATGTATTCGAGTGAGGACGTCACAAAGTAATTATACCGGCATAAATTCTGATCAGTGGACATGATACATTGTTAAAGTCTCACGAAACGGGGAAACATAAGGACGATTAAAAGGCTTCGATATTGCTTGGATGAAGACAAGATGCAGGCGCGAACGCAAGCGCTGAAGAATCTTATACTAGTGTCGACTAAGTTCTCTCAGATTTGCTTAGTATTTTGTGGATTTATTCGTCTAGATAAACCAAATGATAATAAAAAATGCAGCTCTATGCTTATATTTTTCATGTGAATGTAATTAGATGCCTATATCGTGAGAATCGCTGGAGGTCAATCGATCATGATTGATGCAAGACCAACACCTGAAAGCATTTGTCTATAACATCTTCGATAGATTTCAAGCAAGAAATATAATGCAACAATGGATAAACCTAGCTCGGGTAAATAGTGCGAAAAATATGAATATCGTTCGTTGGCAACGTAAAAGAAGCTGCTCTATTCAATTTGGGCAAGTGTATTCGAATATTTATGGAGAGTGTTTATTGAACATTGTTCAGAGAATCATCGTGAGAATGTGATAGCCGTCTGATACAGTTTTATCCGTACCTCTGATCAACTAATGCGCTGCATCTTTGATTCTTGTTGAACAGCGTTAATATTTTTCAATAAAAACATCTTTCAATAATATTAATTTTTTTAATCAAATTCTTCATTTCTTCATTCATTTATTCGATTAATATTTAATCATTTTCATCGAACATCAGTGAAAATTTATAACATCATTTTTAATATGAATTCAATTAAAATTCACGGAGAATTGAAATTAATCGATCTCGTATTTTATTGTGATTAATATCAACTGATTTAGAACATGATTTCAAATGGCTATCAAATAAAAATCTTTAAATAAACCGAATTCAGTTCATTTTATGAGTCGTAACATTTGCATTAATCGATTTAACGCAACCCAAATAGAAAAAAAAACATGAAATATAAGTGGAGAAGTGTAATGGGACTTCCATGTATGAAAGCATGAGTAAATATAGATTATTTCGATTGCTATTCTGCATGACAAAATAACATAAGGTATTGTTCTCATCGTTCATATATTTTATCGGCCATGTTTTGTACTCTCCTTCAGGCAATCATTTTCAAAAAATGCAAGGTAGGATCCACATATATTTCTTCTCATGACCTATTTCACATATTCCGTTTACGCTCTGTATAGCTATGTCGATAACCATCATTGTATTCTTACTAACTTTCTTATATATTCCTAACAATGCAACTGATAGAACTGCCGATTCTATAATTTATGATGGCCGTGTACATGCTTTTCTGAGAAAATTAACTCGTCTAAATGAAAATAGATCGAATTCAGCTATTCAAGGTTGTTCCTTCTTTGGTTATGATTTTTCATTTTTAAATCAAAATAATGGTACTGATTATATTGGTACTGATGTTGGGATTATTACGAATACATATAAAATGAATATATGTGGACCAGTCAATGATAATCGATGTCAGTATTCATGGCGAATTCCAACTTCTATTTGTTATATTTGTACTCGCGGCAATCCACATTGTCTAGGTAGTGTCACTTTGATCGGTTCATTTGGTGCTGATGGCGCTGGTGTGGTATGGAATTTTATTGATCCTCGGAAACCGGAGCTCGGTGTGACCATGACATATATTAATGGACAAAACCCATGTTTCTGTCCAGAAAGCCAGCATTGCTTACCATCAACTGTTGTCGCTTTACAATGTGCTGAGCAGACAGAACAGACCTTTCGTGTCTTTGTTAATACCAATACATGCGTTACTTATCTATATCTAAACATTAAATGTCCTAAATAAAACAACGAAACTATACGATAATTAGCAATGACAGAATTCTGCTTAGAAATTTGGTTTTTATAACCGAAGTCCATCACAATTCTAATTTCATATCAGGATTATTCTACTTTTTGAAATGAGATTTTCAGATAATCTAGATCACTACTTGGAACAAATACGACAAAAAAATTTAGTCTAATATGTCTATACTTCTTCGAGAAAACTAAGATTCATTATACTAGTTCTGTAGATATTGTGCGAGGTTGTTTAATACTACAATGAACATTACTTGAAATTGTATACTGCATGATTATAGATTGTGTGATAGAGTGTGGGTGTGAGTGTTGGTGTCGGAATCTTTGTTTTACACATACCCACAGGGTGTGGGTGTGGCTGTAGGTCTTCTCCTCGATAAAATCCACACCCCACATCCACACACCCACACCCACACCACACCCCACACCCACCCACACCTACACTCATACCCAAAAGATCTATCTTTGACATCAATCACTTCTAACAGTCTAACTGTTCATTTAATTCGTCTGATCCATTAAAACCCAGCCCCCATCCAAAAAAAGTTGATTTTGTCGAATTTATCGATTTTATTTAAATAGCGCATGTGATAGAGCATCACGTCCGCTATCGAATGCACTATAGTTTATTTTGTTTACGATGGATTTTAAGGGTTTTACAGAGGTTTTTCTGAAAGCCTTTATTCAAGAAAAACGACGTCTTTCGAATAATTCAATGTTTTTGCGCATTTCAATTTGTAACGGTAAAATATATTTCTTTCTATTGTACAGAATGTTATCTTGACTTTGATCCTGTCACGTAGCGAGATATATATTTATTTTTCTTTTACGTTCGTTCTCTATGCTTCCATCGTGTTTGCTTTGATCTAAAAACAGAATTCGAAGTATACGAAAGAAAGAGGTAATACGAATCTTTTAAACAAATGAGCAAAGAAAATATTCGCCAGAAAAAGAAAAGCAGAAGGTCTATTATGATGCAAATTCGATCACAGCAGATGAAAAACAAGAGAATGGATTCGTCATCATCATCATCATCAGTAAACATAGATGATATGGATGACTTATTGGATATTAATTTGATTATTCACATCAAATCTTTGATTTCATTGCTGAAACAAACTTTATGTTCTGAATGTAATCATTTATGGGATGGTTCATCACCACAAGTCCAAGATGGTAGACGTCAAGAAATCAATGCTCGACTAGAACTTGGTGCTACACTATGTGGCTTAGGTTATAATGGGATAATAAAATTATTAGGTACATTGAATCTACCACCACCAACACAACAACGAAAATATAGTGAAACACAAGAATTTATTTTAAATTATGTTGAAAAGTGTCAAGAACAATCAATGATCGCTGTTGTTGAAGAAGCAATTGCTGAAACTGGTAGTGCACGAGAGCTAACACTTAGTGGAGATGGTGCATGGCTTACACGTGGTCATACAAGTGTACACGGCGTTCAGCTATGTATTCCACAACAAAGCATCCAAAAATTTTAGATACTACCTGGTCATCTAAAAAATGTATTAAATGTCAGGGGTGGGTGTGGGTGTGGGTGTGCGTGTGGGTGTAAATATTATTCTCTTCTTCATACCCACACCTCACACCGACAACTACACCCACACGCACACCCACACCCTAGCCACACCCACACCGACACCCACTCCAGTATCACCTAGCACGTAAGTATATTTAGTTTCTAACATTATTAGACTAGTAATAAAATTGAAATTATAGGCAAAGAGTAACTACAAACAAGAAAAAATGACGGGACATAGACATGTGACATTTTGGTGATCTATTCGATGATATAGACGTACCAAAACAAACTATTTGAATATCATTATGTTGAATTCAAATCTAAGATTGGAATATGAAAGCAAAAAGTTCTTATTCACAGAATAGGAGAAGCGTCCCGGATTTTTCACAAAAGACAGCCTCTTCACTTTTCCATATAAACATCAATCAAGGAGTGCAGTGATGGGACAAATTCTATCGATTGGCATGCTTGTCTTTCTGGAAAAAATCTCTCGAAAACTCAGCTTAAAAAAAGCTGTCATGAAGAAAGTATTGGGGCAGATGAAATCGAGTCGACTTTGACCTTATTTCTGGATAGTATCCAGTGAAAAATTTTAGCGATTACAGTTGATTAAAATTTCAAAGGGTGTGGGTATGGGTGTGGGTTGGGTGTGTGGGTGTGAATGGATGTGTGGATGTGGGTGTGGGTGCAAGCAAAGAGAAGCCTAGAATGACACCCACTCCCACTCCCACACCTACTCCCACTCCCACACCTATTCCCACACTCACACCAACACCCACTCCCACATTCCCACCAACACCCACTCCCACACTCACCCACACCCACCCACATCCACACCCCACCTACGCCCTTTGAGAACAGATTTTTTTTTGTGTATTTCGTCATAAACTAATCAACATTTCTATTTTCTAAAAGAACTTATTATTCATTACTGGATATCTGAATAAAATAACCTAATTACAATCCAAATTATACCAAAAAACTCTCTGATAAATGGTCTCACAAAAACTAATCTCATATAGGAATCTGTGTGTTTTGAAATGCTAGAGAATCACCATGATCCCTTAAGAGGCCAACCGTCCCCAAAGGGTTAACATATCAATACAAAGCTTCACAAGTGTCTATTATGGCAAATTTTTAACGAATGTTTTGAACACCTTTGTTTTCAGATGGGTAAACTGTGTTTACGGTCATATATAAAAACTCGTTTCTTATTAGGTTTAACTGCTACACAAATTCATGATGAATTAATTACTGCTATGAACAAGGTGTTGTTTCATATCGTATAGTTGCTCGATAGATTGAACGATTTTCAAACGAGCGAGAGTCCTTGGAAGATAATCTTCGAAGTGGTCGTCCAATAATGACCATTACTCAAGAAAATATTGATGCTGTTAAAGATATGATGAACAATGATTCACATATTAGTATTGATTATATTGCTACCATCTCAAACACGTCTATTACATATATTATCGTGATGAATGTTTAAAAAGATTAGTCAAGAATTTACACGAGGAAAAATCGTCATAAAAAAAACATAGCATCTCGACAATGCAAAAATGCATATGCAGGATATTAATCTTAATCTTAATTATACTCAAGAAGGAAAACCAAAGTTATGGTTTATCCACCAAAGTCACCTGACCTTAGTCCTTCAGACTTTTGATTGTTCAGTTGTCTGCAATGTAACCTTGACACATATCCAGATAATACAAGTTTAGCTAAAGCAATAACCAAGGCACTTAAATCAATGTCTATTCACGAATATCAAAAGACCTTTCAGAAGTGGATTGAGACGATGAAACTTTGTATCGAACATCATGGGGACTACTTCGAACATTTACTGTAAATAGAATAGCAAAATATTTTTCCTATGAATAAATATTTGAAAGTGACAGAACATTTTGACTGCCCTATGTATATGAAAAATGTTCTTTTTTCAAGGGCTCCTATTGTCTATCCCTGAAGAACGTAACGAATCATATTCATAATTTAACCCCGCACTCATAATAGCTCGAAAATGAAAGAAAAGTAGGCTTTCTCTAGCCTAGAACGCATAGCAGAAAGTAATGAGTCCTCAAGAACAAATGATCAGAAAGCGAAGAGTGAGTGCGTTATCTCAATACTTATTGTCTAGCTTCTCAACAACATATCAGATCTCGAAACTATTTTGCTACATAGAGGACTTTAACTGTCCTCTATAAATTATACTCTAGCAATCATATTTATAATTTAAGTATTCGCAGAAATTTTAGAAATTCTCATACTACTCAAAGGAGGAAGGGTCTTTTTTGTGAGTACGTTACCGGCATGTATTTTTACTATAAAAAGCGAAACACGAAATCGATTTGCATGAAACTTATAGAAGTTAAAGTGCTTTACGATGTACATATATACACCAAATTTCAAAGCTCTATGCTTTGTAATTGCTAAGAAAATTAGATCGAAAGTTGAAAAAACGTGAGTGTGTTACCTACGGACAAGCTGTCCAATTCTTCAAATAGTTTGTATGAAGAATTGCCCAATACTCAGTCATCTGATGATCGTCTTAGTTGACATGAAACTATATAGTTATGGTAGCTGAATACTCACCCTTACTGTGCGCTCTACCGTCACCTATTGAAAAAAAAAATCAATTTTTTTGAAATCCATTGTGGATTTTTCAAAAAATATTTTTCCAGTTAGAGTCGTAGAACTCGTCAACAGCTTTCAGACTATGTCTTCAGTTTTAGCTTTAGAAGATGTTTTATGAATGAAAAATTACCGGCATGAGATGTTAACACACATAAGACACTTATAATTTTTGTGTAGAGTGACATTAAAATCATTAGTATAAGAGTTTGTTTGATATATTTCATCAATACGAAAATTTCACATGATATTAGAAAAATAATGTTCATGCTGAATATAGACTTTTTATATTTTCTAATAGTTATAACTCAGTGAAAACTAAAGCATTTGCAATAAAAATTTGTTCTTTTTTTCAGCTCATAGAGTAGAGTGATATTCAAAAAGAATCAAACGAAAATATTTCTTCTTATAAGAGAAAATTCGCTTTCACTAAAGAATGTAGAGCGACATTTTTCGAAGTAAAATCACTATCGTTATGTTAAATTAGCTTCATATTTTCAATCTGCACCAAAGCAAAAGAAAGTGTTGAAAAAATATTACTTTCAAACACAGTTGACATCGTTCTATGAAATACAATATTTTGTTTTCTCTTATTGTTAAATTTAGCTTTATCGATATTTTTTTTCTCGCAGGATATAAAAGCTGTACTCTTCACTTATATACGTTCATAAATGAGTGAGAAAAAAGCCTAAAGTAAAGAAAAGAGAGAGTACTTACCAGGCACGCAGCCAGGATTTTTTGAGGGGGGGGGGGGAACCAAATCTATTTCTATTGATTTTTAGTAGGTACTTTTTTAATCTTAATGAGTGTTTTACTATCTATTATTGTTCACATTTATTTATATTTAAACATAACTTTTATGAAAAAAAATCAAAATGAACAAAACATAACAAGTAGGACAATTAATTAACTTCCATAGTAAAATTTATTTTACGTCTGGATTTGGCAAATTCGTCAATTACGTTTTCGATACTTAATTCTTCAGCAATATTTCTATGAGTATATATAACTGCTAAATTACTAAGCCGTTTGTGCCGAGATAGGCACTGGTTCTATCTTAGTGAACAACTGTGTGCATAATTATCCCTGTATGTATATCTTGTCTCTCCCGTGTTTTCTCTCTCTCTTTCTTTTCTCTCTGTGTCTCTTTGTTTCTCTCGCTGCTTCTCTTCATTCCGCCACGGTTGATTAACTCGCGTGGAAAGGAAAGAGGAATATAAAAGGAACGGATAGATTGAAATAAAGGCAGTTGAAAACACGATATCATATTTTATCGTTACACCGTTCATCACCTATTCTATTACGTAATTTTGTTTTAATTAATTTGAGAACTGAAAATGATCGTTCTGCACCTGCCACCGATACAGGAATAAGTGCATAGATTTGTAGTAAAATATATATATTAGGATAAAAAGATTTAATTGGTTGCATAATTTTTAGTGTTTCAATTATTGTAGATGGTCGTTCATTTTCTTTCATTTGAAGAACAGAAAATTTCCATCTATCAAATTCCGCCTTATGAATGTTTGGATCATCACTTAGTAAATCATCTTTATAACAATGAAATAATGGTAAAACATTTGAAAATTGAGTATTAACAAAATAAGATGGAATTAAATTTGAGATATGCATGGCAATTTTTTGATGTTCATTAAATCTCCGTCCTAATTCTTCAATCGTTGTATTGATGAATGTTCTGTACACCTAAAAAACAAAAATATATTAACAGGAAGTCTTACAAACATATTATATGCAAATCCCTTACGTCTGTAAAATAATTCTTGACAAATTCATAACGTCGACTTGTTGTTCGTGATAAACAATTATCAATTTCATGAAGTTCAACAAATTTTGTAAATTCATTATAAAGTTCATTTAATTCATTGTCATCATAAATTAATTGCGCTAAATAAGTTAAAGCTTGTTCTATACTTTGAAAACATTTGAGAAGATCGCATGTTGGTTTTTGGAATTGTTCAGCATATGGTTTAGTTATACAAAATACACGATTGACAATAATAAGAGGAATAGCAAAATCAATATCATTTAGAGCTTTTCCATAACTTCGTACAAGACCACTTGTTTCAGAATCACCATTTTCAGCTAAATAATCTAAAGCAATAATAACATCAAAAAAAACTTGTTTAAATACAATAATTGATGTTTGTTTGTCAACCCAACGTGTTTCACATAATTTGACAAGATGTCGACGTTTTGTTTCATTATTGGTGGATTCAATAGCTTTAGCTAACATTCTTTTTCTGTTTGGTGATGCATTTATAAAGTTTATGACAGACTTAATCACACCAAAAAACATTTTAATTAGTTGAAGCGTACACGCTTCAGCAAGAACTAAGTCCAATGAATGATTTGAGCAATGAAAATAATTTGCACGTGGTACAATATCTTTTATCAATTTTTGTACCCCACCTAATTTACCAGCAACAACATTTGCTCCGTCGTAGCCTTGACCTAAAAATACGCAAAGTTAGTATACTTTCATTAATAACATGAAAAAAAAAACCACGAATTTTTTCTATTTTAAGATCAGACGTTTGAATAAATGTTGTGATTGCTTTAGCAATACCAACAGCAGTTGTAGCAGATAGAGCTTCAAATCCAAGAAAGATTTCTTTTATTAAAATATCATTTTCGTCGGATACAAAACGTATTGAAATTGATAATTGTTCTGTACCAGATAAATCAGATGTTTCATCGGCAATAATAGCATAAAATTTCAGTGTAGTAGTTAATTCATTTAATAATTTATTCTTGATTAATCTTGCACAAATATTAATTAATTCATTTTGTGTTTGCCAGCTTAAATATGTAGCATTTTTTTGATGATGATTTAAATGTTTTTGTAGCGCTTGATCACCAGCTTCAGCTGTAAACAACACCAATGATGTAAAATTACCGGGATTGATATTGTTATCATTTAAAAATTCGTCTTTATCATTACCCCTAAATGCGATATTTTGTTTTGACAAGAATAAAATGCATTTAATTATACTTGCCAGTACTCTTCTATTTTCATTTTGTTGTTGTTCGTTTATATTATTTAATAATATATTCACATCTGAATTTGCATGAGGATACCGTGAAATACATTCTGTTGCTTGGTTCACAGAAAACTTATGGTAATCACATTTATCATGATTCGATAAATATTCGATCGCATCTTTCAGCGATCGTAATTGTTTATTAATAAATTGACCAAGGGCTTGATTTTCACCTTTTCTTGAAAATAACACGCAATATCGACAATAAACACCTTGATGAATTTTTGAGTAACTAAGCCAAGAATATTTAATAAGCCATGAATGTTGACAAACTGATCTTTTTTTTTTCATTTTATTCAATTTTCGGGAAAATATAATTTGGTGGTGGAATCCATGGTTTTGTCAATAATCGATTTAATAATGGAAAATCATTTTTAGCTGTATTATTTGAAACATATAAACCAATATCATCTTCATGGGTCAGTATGTCAATAGTAATGCCATAATTTTGACTAGCAGATAAAGAGGAAACAGTGACTGATATTGCTTCATTATCAATGATGTCGGAGCTGTTATTATTGTTTGTATTGTAAAAATGAGGCGTTGTTGATGTTTCTGAATTGTTTTCACTAACATAGCTTCTTGGCCTCTTATTTGATACGAAATACGTACTTATATCTTTGTGTTTTTTACTCATTACTTTCAATGATTTAATCGAAAAGTGTTCTGTTTATAAAATATGAATCAGAGTACATTAGAAAATATTTGTAATTATGTACATAATTTATTTAATTAACAATAATCATTACGAGCACAGAGTCTGTATAAACAAACAATTTACGCTAATTGATAAACACAAGTAACCCCGAACACAATATATTTAAAGAACATTTTATTATTGTTAAAAAATGAGCTTAAAAATTTTCACAACAATTTTTTCGGGGGGGGGGGGGGGACCCCTCCCTAGTATCCCCCCCCCCCCCCCCGTCTGCGTCACTGGTAGTTACCTATAACAATTATCGCAAAAAAAACATGGAGAGAAAAAAGAAACAGGGAAAATTTCTTTTCTTCGTTAACCTTTTTTTATGCAATATTTTTTGCAGGCAAATACTCTTTCTCTTACTTTTTTTTTCATCATTCATTTTTCGCAATCACATGCGGACGTGCATTTAGGTGTGCAAGATTTCTATACTCTTCATTACTCTTCTAATCACAAAAACAAGCACAAAGCCGATCGTATGTTTCTCATGAATAATCTGTTTTTGATTTTAGTGTTGAATGCAAAGAATAAAATAACATTCTATTTCAAATAATGGTTTTTGTCATGCAAAGTAGATATGCACCAGTCCAGTCGGACTGGACCATCAATCATCTGATCTTTAGTTTATTAAATGAATAATACTTCCCTCTTTTTTGTCACATTCTAATAAACTGATATGAACCTATTAAAGACCTAATACAAGCTATATCATAACATTAATTGATTATTCTTGTGTTACTATGTGTCAACTGTGGTCTCATATGGTATTATAAAATAATTTGCTAGATATTCATTAAATTTTTCTGAAAAATAGATTCGATATAGGTGTTTTATTATCTTCTGTTTGATCAGTATTCAATTCCGAAAGAAAAATTTCTGACTGATTGTAATCAAAATCAAAACAAAGTCATTCATTTAATTCAAACATTTGAAGGCTGTTTTCGATCCAAATAACTGTTAATCTATTTATTGTCAGTACGAAAGGCACTGTTTGGTGTTTATTAATCTCAAATGATATTTTTAATTTATTAAGAAATCGTAAAACTAATATGCAGAATTTATTATTTACATAGAAGATGAAATTATACTACTTTAGAAATTTGAATAAATAATCGAAATAATTGAATATATATTAGATGTTCAACACGTGAATAATCAATCTTAACGTCTTCTTCAGACAAAAAAACTACCTTTTTCTATTAGCTTGTTCTCCTCTATAATTAATTCATTGCTATATCTTTATTTTCATATATGTATATATATATCAATTTTTAAAAAAATAACAAATCAACATGAGTTTTTTTTATATATGAAAATTTTTTTTCTTTTTTTAATTTTTTTGTCTTACTTTTGATTTATTTTTATTGGAAAAGAGATATGAACAAGAAAAAGAAAAAAAGAGAATAAAAGTAGGAGTTAGGAATAGAAAGACGGAAGAATTAAATAAATAAATAAATAATTATTAACGCGAGACCTTTCGAATTTAATCTTTATCAAGCGAGTGAATGTGAAAAGTATGATTATGATGTAACACTGCTTATATATTCGATTGAAAATAATGATTCATATCTTATTTGTATCGTCATTAATGACTAAAGATGAGAGATCAATAAAAAACAGAAATGAAAAAAACGTCGTACAAAAATACGAATACACTGGTAAGCTATCAGACCCTAGATGAGTCACACTTTTGTTATCTGTAGTCACCGTTTAAGGGAAAATATGGACACCATTATAGAGGCACACATGGTAAATCTGATTGGTTACATGAATTGGAACACATCTTGTTGTATTAAATTACTCTTAAAAATATGTCAATAATTGAAAAAAAAACTAGTACAGAATTTTTTATAAATTTAAACAGATGTAACTTGCTATCGAGACATTCCATTTTGCAAAGAATTCGGGTTATCCTATGAGACAAGTCAACTTATCCTATAGCATTAGTTACTACTTTCAATTAAGACATTTATACTTGTTCACTTAGTATTTTGACTTATCCTATAGGGTAAGTCGACTTGTCTCATAGGATAACTCGAAATACTGGAAAAAAGTAGTTCAGCCACAAGAGTCGAGTTATCTCATAGAATAAGTCGACTTATCTCATAGGATAAGTCGCTTCTTTTAACTGAAATATTTTTACTCACTCGATTAGTATTCTGACTTATTCTATGAGATAACTCGACTTACCCTATGAGATAAGTCGCCTCGTATGTTTGAGCAAGTTATTCTTAATATTTCGAGTTATCTCATGAGACAAGTCGACTTATCTCATAGGATAACTTAAATTTGGCACTAAACAAGTATCTCAATCAAAACACAGGAGTAAATTGATAGAACAAGTTGAACATTTAAATGTAATCTCAAAAATCTCAAAAATGAATATATTATGATAAAAACAGAAGTAATAATACATAATTCTATTTTTCGAAAGTCCATATATTCTATTTATGGCTAGATTTTTGTGCTAAACCAGTCGCCATTAAATGATTCCATGTGCCTCTACAATGGTGTCCATATTTTCCCTTAAACGGTTGTTTCCCTTAAACGATTGTTTCCCTTAAACGGTTGTTTCCCTTAAACGGTGCCCACAGTTATCAGATTCTGAAGTCACTTATGCACTTGATTTATATTTTTGGCCCAAAAAATATCATACTATAATTTAGGTATCAAAAAATTCTAAATTTAATTTACAATCGAATGAAATACTTCTTATTACTAAGCTATTTCTCTAAACTTGATTTTTAGACTGAAAACCTTTTGCTTGTGCAGCCCTCTTTATTGTTGTTCAATAAAAATAGATTAGCATGTCAGTTCCTCTGGAAACAGGCCTCTTTCAAGATGCATTATTAGTGAAATGAGATATGTTAGCAATGAGCATATTCTTATAATGTTGCTTTGCTCGTTCTAGAGCATATTATATGATAATCTTTTGAATTTGTTTTTTGGGAAAAAATAAATATAGATGTCACCGATGAGAAGTGCATCTGTTATTAATTGGAAGAAAGAAACGTATTTTTACCCCTCTGACAATATACCAACATATCAACTTTCCCTAAAGCTTACCGATAAAGTAATTTAGCGACGTAGAAATAATTGGTCCACTTCATCTGTTCGTCATCATTTAATTAAAATACATAAAATCGAATCTTTACTTAAATCTATGTTCTCGAATATAAACTAAATCGTTAAACACCTGATACTTAATTACATGAACAACATTTCCTAATGATTTTCTTTTTAGGATAAACTCGATGATTAATAATACAAATTCGACCTGATGTATGTGTCAAAGTTACACATTTTTTTAATTTTTATGGTATTTTAGGTTGTTTCATAGTTTATTTTCTATATATTCCATTTTTTATATGAAAGATAGTTTTATGCTGAAATCTTGATATAGAAACAACTAATTCATTTCTTATATGACTTTAGTTAGTAACAACCTATGTTTTGATCTGATGATCGTAACAAACAGAACCATTATAAAATGGAAATATGTTATAGATATATATATAATCAGTGTGTATAACTATGAATATATTTCTTTCTGATTTTATTTCTTTCTTTTACAACAAAGTGTACTTTCTTATTTTTACGTATTCTGTTTGATAAAATATATACTATTTAATTCACTTATTATTCGACATATAAGTTAAAATTATTTGTTAGCCAACTGTTGCAATTCATATCACTGGTTTTATCACCATGTTTTATTATGTAAGCATTTGCAAGAAATTTCATCTGAGTCTCGCAATTGAACACAGTACTTCACTTTTCAAAAATTTCTTCTTAACAATTAAAGAATCTTTTCTTAACAGGAAAACAAAATGAGTGAGTTCACTATAATGAGACTCAGAAAATATTGCCTGAGTAACAGAACGAATATGGGGTCAAAGAAATAGTCTCTCAACTTGTGATATAATTACTGTCAACTGTCGAAACTCTCTGAAGGATCCTCATGAATATAGAAAATTCTGTCTAATATAAGTTTACATCTGAATACTTTATTCAACAGCTGCATATAATAAACATACACATCAATATCAATATTGCATTTTATATCTCATATCACATGAATGTTGTCACCAGAGTATGAGTTCTGTAGAAATAATGTCTGTTTCTAGGGATCGTTTTATAGTATTGGTACTATTTAAAAATAGTATAGATACAGACTATATGACTGGTATTCATCAGTATTCAAGAAACAAAGGCTCTCTGAATTAATTATAATTTTCCAGCACTTGTATAAAATCGGTCTAAATTCTTTAAGTGTTGTTATGATAAGTAATATTCTTTCTTTCCAATTTATTACTAGATAAACAGTAAAATAAATATAATATGTCAAATAGCTATTCTCAGCGATAGAAAGTATCGCAAAACACGATCATATGAGAAAACTATTTGTCAATGATACTTTCAGAAGTAGATGATTAATAAATAAGAAACTTTTATATTTTGATAATTAGTGGTGATATGGTAATTAGCTCGTTAATAACAGAAGAATACTAAATTTGGTCAAAATTTGGATTCTTATCAATATGTTAAGAATACCAGAATTAGATAATTGTAATATACTAGCACAAGAAAA